TCTGCGAATCGCTTCAGCTGCAGCTTCTTCTTCTTCTTCATCGATCTTAGGAGCCAAGTAGTATCTTATATAACCCATACCTTCAATTCTGTATTCAATCACCATAGGTAGGTCTGAAGACATGCTAATGGTCACCTGAGTTGCCAGAGGGGTTGCCTTTGTGAAAGAGTTGAGGTACCTCAGGGCGAAGGTTAAGCTAACTGGTTCTTCCATCTCTATTATGACATCTTCTTCAGGCTGTGAAATTTCAATTCACAAAGAAATAAGCCATCAAAACAATTGATCGACATTGATAAACCACTGTCCTACATTTTTTTAGAACAGAACAGGGCCCATAACATTCCCAGAATCAATTGTAATGAATTGTTTGTGCTGTGTGATCGAGTTAAAAACCTTATCAACTGTGGTAGTTCGTCTGCAAACGATATTGGCAGTGCCCATATCACCTCTGGTTGAGAATTGAACTCCTTCCTTGGACACAGAGATCAGAACTGAGACAAATCGGTTATTCGTTAACCTATACATGTTCGAATAATGCCTCCTAAAAGAAACGAAATGATTCAAATGATTACCAGTATCGCCTATGGTGCTGAGATCCCTGCAAATCCTGGCAAACTCAGCTGCTGGCATTCTAACAATTGACTGATATTCGGCATCAGGGATTCCGAGATGCTCGCTATCAATGTCCATCAACTTCATCTCAAAATCAGCTATCTTATCTTGCGCTAAGCACGGAAACGAACAATTATCAGTCAGAATAACTATTTCCTATCTCATCACTGAGATTCATACATTGCATTGCTCATTGACGGAATCTAAAACTAGTCTACTAACTTCCATTGAGTTCATTCAAAACCAGTGGATTAGTATTTCACCTACAATGTCCAGAAACATTTCTCAGTAAGTCCTGGTTAGAAATTGTCCACGATCGAAACAAATAACTGAAGCTGCTTTATTAATTCTCTTTTTTTTTTTTTTTTTGTTCGTCGTCTTTTGGTTGTTGTAAATAATATAGATCTCATTGAGTATTTATGAGAGAGATTGCATAACTACTGAATCTTTAAATCTTTCTAATCTTTCTCTAAACTTTCAAATCAATAACTATTATCTAAATAGCTATAGTTAATAACTTGTTTTGGTAAAAAAAATAAAAAGGAAGGAAATGGGGTAGTTTACTGACAAGGGTTTTCGAACATGAAGGTGATGCAATCGCTACCATCATCGGCCTTGAGCGTAACGATGTCGTCGTTGCCAGCGCAGCGAAGCATCTTAGCCATATTGTTGAGGTTCATACCCATGGAGACGTTGCGATCGCAGCGATAGTGCTCGAAACCCTCTGAGCGGAGAAGGAGAGAGACCAAAGCAACGTGACTAGAATCCATGGCTTGGAGAGAGAAACCAGTAGGGGAACAATCAAAATTGGCGTCGTTGACGAGATCCTTCATGGCTTCAAGAACCTTCTTCAGAAGACCCCCTTGGAGTAGACGGAGCTCCAACATTTTTCTTTCGCAGGGAGTTAATGGCGGATTTTGCGGTTTCTTCGGTGATCGAGAAATGAAATAAATCGTACAACGGATACGAAGAGACCCTCGTTGGGCGGGAGTGGGGACTCGGATTCCCGCCAGATCATCTACGACGTCGTTTTCTTAGTTTTAAAAATGTCAAAATTAATAAAAATATTTATTTAATGTTTATAAGATGCTTTTAAAAATTTCAATAATATTTATAAATTTTTATTTTTCAAAAATAAAAAATATTTTACCGAGGAAAATGGTTACTATTTAATCTTAAAAATTCTATCTTCTAAAATTTCATTAATACTCTTAATTTTTTTTTTTTTTTTTTTTATAAAAGAAATATAATTACACAGTATATAAAAGAAACTATTTGTACATATTTCAAAATATCCATGAATTTTTAAAAGTAATATCAATACCCTTAAACGTATAATTTGCTCATCGAGATGAAAAATCATGGAAGTTTCTTTTCTGTTTCCCATCACAAACCCGTGAGGATCAAAGTAGAACATACTAGGGAAGGGGGGAGGAAAAGGACAATTGACTCAATGAAACGACAATCGGAAGTTTATAACTCGACCTTTGAAGCGTCGGGATCGGAGATCACTGCTTGACGTTTCATTGATGCAGACTTGATCAGATGGTTGTAGCTTCCCTTTTCCTTGAAAAGCTGGGAGAAGTGGTGTTTGCAGTACAAAATTCCATGAAGTGCAGCATAGTTTGATGGAGATAAAGAACAGCCACCGTGTGAGCATTTAAAACACGACTTGTGATACGCTTGGCTCTCAACTGTCACCTGCATACAAGCAATTCCCGCAATCCGTCACCAATAAAGGAACGTCCGTGCAGATGCATTCAAAGTACCAACCCAGCAAAACTACTCCTTTCTTTTAGATTAAGCAATCTAAAGTTCCTCAAACAAGAGCCACATTCAAGCCTTCAGAAAACCAATTCATTGAAGTAACATTCGCTCTGTAATAGTTTAATAGTTTAAGCCCACCGCTCTGTAATGGCAGACGTTGTCCTCTTTAGACTTCCCTTTTAGGCTTCCACTCAAGGTTTTAAAATGCGTTTGATAGGGAGAGGTTTCCATACCCTTGTAAGGAATGTTTCGTTCCTCTCTCCAACCGATGTGGGATCTCACAATCCACCTCCCTTGGGGGGCCAGCATCTTTGCTGGCACACCGCCCCGTGATTGGCTCTGATACCATTTGTAACAGCCCAAGCCCACAGCTAGTAGATATTATCCTCTTTGGGCTTTCTCTTCTATGCTTCCCACAAGGTTTTAAAATGTGTCTGATAAGGAGGAGTTTTCACACTCTTACAAAGAATGCTTTGTTTCCTTCTACAACCGACGTGGGATCTCACAGTTCCTTTCTTTTAGAGGTCGATATGTAAATGTCGGAAACGATAGCATACAGAAGAAAGTCAAACCCCAGCAGAAAAGATAATTCATTGCATCATTAGACAATGAACAATTGATGCGATTAAGCAGGTTTTAACTGTTTGAATATCTTTCTAACGTCTTCTAAACTAACCTTCTCCAGAGGATATGCAGTTTTTCCACATGTAGCACATTTTCTTGTGTCCCAGAAAACATGCCGGCAGCTTTGCTTGGTGACCTAGTCTGGAGCCAACAAGAGGCTATGAGATGAGCGGCTGTTTATAAATATAATCACAACTAGTTGCAGCATTGGGGTTAAATTTACCAGTTCTGGGGTTGGCTTGTCGGCGGACTTTGCAGCTGTAGAAAAAGAAAAATTTAGAAAATGTTGGTAAAAAGCAATAGCTACATGATCAAATGTAAGTTTGGAACATACGAGATAGTAAGTTCTTGCTGAAATTTCCAGTTTCCTTGAAGAGCTGCTCAAAATGAGGCTTACAGTATAGAACACCTTCCATTGAAGAATAATTACTCAGCTGAAAGCATTTGACAAGTCATTTCAGAAAAGTTCCCACATTCTGACCCACAAAAATGCTCGGTAAACATGCATAATCATGCTGAAGTGAGGCAAGAAAATTAAAGATTTCAACAAATGAGTCCTGAAAATGAAGTGATGTACCTTAAGAGTCCCTTTGCAATGGCTACATTTGAAACATAGCTTGTGGAAAGCAACTCCATCAGCCGATAACTGATCTACAGGGTACACGGTCTTCTCACAAGCTTTGCACTTCTGTTGGGTGCCAATAAACGACATAGCTAAGCCTTGAAGTAGATCCGACTATCGTCAACCAATCAAAATCTCGTCCAATTCAAACCCACAAAGCGATCCCGACCAAACAAACTTCCTTTTCCTAATGGCATTTCATCAAACACGTTCAATGCACAAAAAACCCAGAATCAAATTCAGACGGAAAAACAAAGTAATACATAAGAGAAGTTGCATCCAATGATCTGATAATCTACGAAAACCAAATCCAAGAGCTCAACACACTTCAAAATGTACCGAAGAAAACGATCAAACCCAGAATCATGAACAAGCAAGATCTAGGTCAGAGATGAAATGCAATCGAAATCGAAGATGGGTACCTCAAATCAAGGAAGTAAGGAAATGAATCGATTGTTTTTAGGATGTAGCAAGTGGAGCGAAGAAGAAGAAGATAGTGAAATGCAAGATGTAGCGAAGAAGAAGAAGATAGTGAAATGCAAGATGTAGCGAAAGGCAGAAGCAAATAATTTATGATATATTGGTTATTCACAGCGTCAAATTTGTTTATAGGGAAAAAAGAAAGTGATAAAGTGAAAAGGGATGCGAGAAAATATCTTTGCCGGAAAGACACCCATGGTTGCTTAAACTTTACTCCGTCCCGGTGCGACTTTCTTCTTCACCTTTTTCAGTACTGGAGCTGCACCATCGGCATCGTGCAAGTAACGACTTGTCATTTTATCCTTGTTTTTCTGATTTAGCATTTTGTCTTTAAACCTAACATGCTTCTCTTTCAGAAAACTGAATTATCTTCATGAAAAGAGATCATGAGGTTAAGAAAAGGATGCACTAAATTCCATACCTGGACTGCCTGAAGAAGCTTCACATTGTTTACTTAAGAGGCAAAAACCCCTTAGATCAGCCTGAAAAACGAAACCAATCAAAACCCATCTACTGTTGGTCCAAGTAGACAGATATCAGACGATTCACGATCAAAATAGAACATCATATCAATAATTTTGCTCAAAAAGCAAACAGTGACCCACTTGAACACACAATTCTATTATGGGTCCTAAGGTATCTAAAGATAGAGCTAAAAATGAAGTGATTTATTTTATATAAAATTATAAATTTTGAATTTGTTTAGTGAGTTTAAAAAACTTAAAAAGTAATATTATTATGTTTCTAGAGTCAACCTTCGGCCCATCACAAGGAAAAATCCAAGGCCCATTTTCACGTTAATAGAAGCTACACTAAATTTGTCCCACATCGGAAACACGGAGAAAGGAAGAGGTTAGATGCAGTATATAAAGGAAGGAACTAGTGCCGTTGAAACATACTTACCTGGACGGGATCAATGGGCGATCAGTGAGGCTCATGGTCTAGGTTGGTGACCTCCATTGCACTTCGGAGGGGTGCCCGTCTAAGGTCTGCCCAAAGTGGCAGAACCTACGTCATAATTTGTGGTAGTGGGGGCCTGCGTTCGCGCGGCCCCTCCAATGCCAGTATTATAATATTTTTCAATAATTTTTCTGTGTTCGGTAAGTTTCTTGTTGAAATAGCCTATGTATCTCTCTTTTTCTTGTTTTATTTATTCTTTTCATGAAAATTGAGGATAGTGGTTATTTTTCTAGTGAACCACCATCCTTACTAAAATTGAGGGAAGTGGTCTATCGTCACACTAGATGTTTTAGTCTAAAAATTTGTGTCCGGGGCATTTTTTTTTATAGCCGCAGGCAGCTCAGATCGCGCACATGTTGAGTCCTAGCCAGCTCAGATCCGTCAAGATGATCCTATCCTTTGTCTGCACCACAGGCAGCTCAGACCTGTCAAGATGATGGCTGCACACGAGGCCTCCTAGCCGCAGGCAGTTCAGACCCGTCAAAATGATGGCGGCGCACGAGACCACTTCAATGTTGAGTCGGGGATGCGAACCGACTAAAAGGGAGATCCTTTGCCTGCATCGCGAGATCTCCTAGCCACAGGCAGCTCAGACCCGTCAAAATGATGGCGGCGCACGAGACCACTTCAATGTTGAGTCGAGTCAGGGGATGTGAACCGACTAAAAGACCTTCCCTTTTAAGACTGCAATACGACCCAGGAGCAGACTTCTTTAGTAATATCAGTGTGAAATTCTCCTCCACAAGACTCTTTTTCCAGGACCAAGACTTGGGGACGAGAACATAATGTTCACAGCCACACTAAAAGACTCTTTTTTCAAGACTTGGGGACGAGAAACATAATGTTCACGGTCACACTAAAAGACTCTTTTTTCAGGACTTGGGGACGAGAATATAATGTTCGCAGTCACACTGTAGAAAAGATTATCTATCTGAATGAGTTTCTCCAATTAACCACACTCAATACACAAACACTTCCCTTCACAAACTTCAGGCCTTTTTTATTAAGCTTCATAAATATTATGGGAGGCTTGAATGGAAGTTATATGCTCAAATGTTCAAAATTTGTAGAACTGTGGAATTTGTAAATACTTAAAAATGTGGCCTGCCCCCCAGAGTTTAGAAGAGCTCTCCCCTGCTCACAAGATTCAAGGCCATGTCTACATCCCTGGCCAATTCAACCGCTGCCCCAACATAGCTCTGAGGTGTTAGATCCAACAGATTAGTCTTCGCTTCCTTCGGTATTTCCAACCCTTCAATAAACCTCCTTATACTTTCTTTGGTCACCGTCTTTCCTCTCGTTAATTCCTTTAGCTTCTCGTAAGGCTCCGGAACACCGTATCTTCGCATGACCTGTTGACATGGATAGCAGATGAGATATAATTATATACGAGGAAAGCAAATATACGTTCATCGCACGTTTTTTCTTTCCTTTTGTTATATTCAGGAGTGTTCAAACCAGCTTGCGTGCAACACGAGTATTCTCATGGGACAATTGCCTAATCCTAATACATTTGGTTGCCAAAGTAATTCGTCACAAATTATTAACTCTAAACACATGACCAGCAATAATCCCAGGAGAACTTATACACAACACTAGCACCACAGACAGAAGCAATTAATCAGAGATGTACAGAATGATACATACAGTCTGTATTGGTTCAGCAAGGACCTCCCATGATTGGTCCAAATCATCGTTGATACGACTCTCATTAACCTACAATGCAGCAGTAATCAAGTTAAAGGGAAACCCCACATAGAAGATGGCCAACAAGAACCAGGAGGAAGAAACTTTATGTTTTGAAACCATAAAACAAGAGTTAAACAGCATGGAAGATGATAGGTTGCATTGTGCTAGAAATTGCCCAGAATAAGACTGAAAAGACAATTTGTGCTTTCTTGTAGCCAGTTAACAAGCTTCTAAGTTTCATTCGTACCATGTAATCAATAGTTAAAAATTAGGAGTTAACTTGACCGCATATGAAGTGGCCAATTTGTTAGGATTCTTCTAGCAAGAAATACCCATAATCGAACTATACCCACCTAAAAGGTAGAAGTTGCTTTATTACATGCCATCAGAGGGAACATCTTTCACAAAACTAATAATGATTATGATGATTATTTTGAGTACCTGAAGCTTTCCTATTCCTTGAAGTGTACTTTTGTAGGCAAGAAGAGAATGTCCAAGTCCAACACCCATGTTCCTTATAACAGTAGAATCAGTCAAGTCACGCTGCAAAAGAGAAGTATTTTTCATCAAACTCCTCCAAGTTAAATACAATCATTGAGTAGCCTACATGAAGTGAAAATTTTCATTTTTAACCCAAAACTTTAGAAAGCATGATTATGTAACACTACAGCCCACATTTACATGGTCACATCTCACATCAATAACCATCTACCGACTCAAAGCATAGAAGATCAAAAGTCAAAATAAAGGCATACCTGCCACCGAGATATAGGTAACTTTTCACTTAATTGTGCCAATGCTCCATTAGCCACACCAAGATTACCTTCACTGTTTTCAAAATCAATAGGATTTACTTTGTGAGGCATTGTTGAAGAACCGATTTCACCAGCCTTCGTTATCTGCCCAAAATAATAAATAATCATATAACACGCTTTTTCTTTCATAGATATTAATAATGACGAGACACATTAAGATACTCACCTGTTTGAAGTAGCCCAAAGATATGTAACCCCAAATATCTCTGTCAAAGTCAATCAAGATGTTGTTGTATCTCACAATGGTAAAAAAGAGTCTTGCCATGTAGTCATGCGTTTCAATCTGAAAAAGGAGTATATTTATACAGTTAGGATTTCAGGATAATAATCAAATCATTCTATTTGTAAGTCTAATAGCTTATCCATCTAATGTCCAATTCTTACGTCCATAAGTCGCTTTCCGAAGATCATCATTACATCCTCAAACACCGAAACAGATTAACATGCTTGTTATTCACAGTAAAGGAAAACCCACAAACAACATCCTAAATACATTTAGCCACTTAAATGGCAAAGAAAAATATGGAGATTAAAGTATTATGAATAGTTGACTAGATAACAAACGAACTACAGCAGATAAATAAGCCTAGACAACACTTCTCGTCGAAATGGAAAACCGAATCTTTATATAAAGACAAACCTGAGTTACGTAGGGATTGAAACTCAAATCCAAAGAGTTTACAAACTCTTCGGCCACTTTAGGCCAGTTAACATTTGGATATGCAACAAGATGCGCATTATAATTTCCAACTGCACCAGCAAACTTCCCCATTATCTTCACCTTAGAAACTTCCAACCTTTCTCTACTTAGTCTGACTGCAAATATTGCCATTTCCTTCCCTAAGGTTGAAGGTGACGCTGGCTACGAAATGAAAAAAGACACGTAAGGGGTTTGTTCATGAGAATAGAACATATTTCAAGTCACTCAAAAATCAAGACCAAGAATGACACAAGCACCAAACCATGAAACAGTTTAAACAGTCAAAAGATGAATACACCATATATTTCGTCAGCCAAAAACCTGTCCATGGGTGCGGCAAAGAATCGGAATGTGAGCGTTATCTTTGGCCATGGTGCTTATTGCATTTGTCAGCTTGTCCATAAAAGGGAGCACAACGTTTTCTAATGACTCTTTCAGCATGAGTCCATGGGCAAGATTGTTAATATCCTCGGATGTGCAAGAGAAATGAAAGAATTCAAGCACCTGAATTGCAGAGCAGAATAGTTATAAAAGATCTAAAAAAGTTTTAAGAACACATACAATGAAAACAATTTTTAACAAACGGAGAACAGCAAGGTAAGTCCCACCTTAGAAATCTCAGGATGTGATTGACACCTCTGTTTTAAGAAATATTCAACTGCTTTTACATCATGATTCGTCACTTTTTCAATGCTTTTAATCTCCAAGGCATCATCCTCGCAGAAATTATCAATTAATCCTTGTAAAAAAGCAGAAGCATCTTCACTGAATCTTGGGACCTCTATGATTTCAGGAATTTGCGATAGCTTCAATAACCACTTGATCTAATGACAAGTAGGAAAAAGAGAAGTCCTTGATCAATCAGGTACTATAAGTACAAAGACCTTCCTCCCACCATGTGCGATGATATTAGCAAATAAAATCAAAACAACACATCTTTCCTCAGCTGTAAAAGAACAATAAATTTAAAAGAAACAGATTTTACAAATCAATGAATCAAATTAAGAAGTACCTCAACCAGAACCCGGTAGAAGATCAACCCATATTCGCTTAGATAGGGGGCCAAGTCCTTGACCTTACCCCAATAACGACCATCTAAGGGAGACAAAGCCACCAAACTTGAGAGCTCATCTACAACAGTGATTTTCTTCTGAGTAAAAGAAAAATAAAACAAAAATCACAACCAAAATATAAGAAACGGAAATAGTTCATTGATCATCATCTTGAAGTAAAAATTCTAAAACACCATCAAGTTGAGCTTAATAAGCGCAGAAGAACTACCTTTTCCACCGGTACTTGGAAATCTTGTAGAATGGCTTTGCAACCAAAATTTCTGTGGGGCTTACGATAAAAGGAACCATTTCGAAAAACACTTGAGGGTTCTTTAGGATTTTGAAAACCCATTGCCGCGCATATGAATCGGGGCGGGTCCAAAACCCTACAGTTCGCTCCGACCTCCATGGATGAGTACGAGTAGTGAGAGCTAAAACCCTTGTTCTGCTTTCTTTCACCTGTGGTTTGGTTCGACCTTTTCAAGAGAACACGAACTTCATTCTTCATGTAAGTGTATTTGCACACGTGTCCTACCACGTCACAATTTTTTAAATAATAATCTCTCTCTTATACACCTAATTGTACAAGACTATTAGCTTTATTACGGGATTTATTAGTGTACATTTTGGCGCCGCAGTAAAGGAACGGGAGTGCCAATGGCAATCCAAGCGGTAATAATGAACTCCCAAAAACTCGAATTCTACGAGCGAAGTTCAAAGCCAATAGAGAATGAGAGTGACGACCATATCTGTTTTCAGGACAATAGCAGAGCCACATATGAACGAATGATCCAAATTGGCCTCACCCACTTGAACATCCTTTCAAGTAACCACAACCCATGCGGCAAAAACTCCTTCACCGCCCTTATCTACTCTCATCCCTGCAACTTTGCAGCTCCATGTCCACCTTCCATGTCCAATTAGAATATTAGGTTGAGAGAATCAGAGTCCAATACTACTTGGGTCGGCTATGGAGACTGGAATTGCTTGCTGTGCTCGTGGGGCTTTTCTCCCCAATCTTTCTTCCCGGCATTCAACTCCTCTCCTGTCTCCTTTCGCCACCAGGGTATGTACAAACGAAACCCATCTCTCCATTTTTCAAGATTTTGGAAATGTGTGGCTGAAGTTTGATGATGGGTGTGTGATGAAATTGCATGATAGAGTCTAAAAGCGAGCTCGCTATTTGGGGAGTCGTTAAGGCAAGTTCCTAAGTCATCAGTGAAAGTGGCATCAAGGCCAAGGAGTGTTCCTTCCAAAACCAGATGTGAGATTGGTGATAGTCTGGTGAGTGCGTTTGTGTAATAATGCCTGCAAGTATTGTGATTTTGCTTGTTTGATAATGAAAGGAGTATGTGATTGTAGGAAGAGTTTCTCACCAAAGCAACCCCTGATAAGGGATTGATCAGATTGTTGACGTGCATGGGAGAAGCTTTGAGGACCATTTCCTTCAAAGTCAGGACGGCTTCTTGTGGAGGAACTGCTTGTATCAACTCCTTTGGAGATGAACAGCTTGCTGTTGATATGCTTGCGGATAAGCTTCTATTCGAGGTCAGCCTTCGATTAATCTCGAATGACAATATTAGAGTTTTGATTCAGGTGTTGGTTTCTAAGGAGAACATTCTGACAACTATAGTTTATATGAATCCATTTCTCCAAATTTGCTCTTAAGATCCTGTACTAAGTTATGTTTTTAATGAATAGGCCTTGAGATACTCACACTCATGCAAATATGCTTGCTCTGAAGAAGTGCCAGAGCTTCAAGACATGGGAGGCCCTGTTGAAGGTCAGGCATCTCAAATTATAAGAAAACGACCAAATGGTGATTCAATGACTACTAACACTTTGTATTAAAAATAAGCAGGAGGGTTCAGTGTTGCATTTGACCCGCTTGATGGTTCAAGTATTGTTGACACGAACTTTAGTGTTGGCACCATATTTGGAGTGTGGCCCGGTGATAAGTTAACTGGAGTGAAGGGAAGCGACCAAGCTGCTGCAGCCATGGGAGTTTACGGTCCTCGCACGACATATGTTCTTGCGCTGAAAGACTTCCCTGGCACTCATGAGTTCCTGCTTCTTGACGAAGGTTACTCTTTACAACTAAACTGAATTAAAAGCTTTTTCTTAATTGAGAGAATGGCTGGCAGTTCTCAATCTAAAACCTTGACTTCTTTGCTCTAACGATGGCGGTCGTATAGGAAAATGGCAACACGTTAAAGAGACGACAGAGATTGGGGAAGGAAAACTGTTCTCTCCAGGAAATTTGAGAGCCACATTTGATAACCCTGACTATGACAAGGTTTCATTTTATTTTACCACTTCTAAAAGGCTTGAGAAGAGTATTAATGTTTTTTTTAAAACCATTCTTACTGCCTTTTATGCGTTCCAATTCAACAGCTGATCAACTACTATGTGAAGGAAAAATACACATTGAGATACACCGGTGGAATGGTTCCTGACGTCAACCAGGTTTTCGACTTTTCGGATCAACGTTCTTTGGAATTCTTTTGTTGGAATGATTGAAAAGTAGGAACACTTTTTTGTATGAACGTTCTGAAAGGATGGTTTTGTTTGAATCCACAGATTATTGTGAAAGAGAAGGGGATTTTCACAAATGTGACATCTCCCTCGACCAAAGCTAAGCTGAGGCTGTTATTTGAGGTAGCTCCTTTGGGATTTTTAGTGGAGAAAGCAGGAGGTTACAGCAGCGATGGTCGTCAGTCTGTGCTCGACAAGGTGATCGAGAATCTCGACGAAAGGACCCAAGTTGCTTATGGGTCTAAAGAAGAGATCATTCGTTTTGAAGAAACGCTCTATGGATCGTCAAGGTTTAAGTCAGGGGTGCCAGTTGGTGCTGCAGTTTAAACAGTGAAAGAACATTCCCCACCATCTTTTCTTTGCTTGTTGAAAACAGAAATTTAATCAGTCAGCAGAAGCTTATGACTTGTATGATAGAAATGAAAATGTTCAAGCTTGTTTGAAGTTTGACACCACAGCTTCCAAGGTTAGACCTTTCTTATAACAGTCAAATTTGAAAAGCCGAACGAACTGGCTTCACTGAGCACGGTTTCTGAATAAGATGAATGATGGCTTTATTCTTTCTATGATCTATACTAAGAAATTTTACTGTCATCTGATAAGCGTCTCTTGGTTTGTCACCTGAGATCATTTGGAGTAGAGGCACTGGCATGAGCATGGTGAGCTGAAATTAACTGTTTGTATTATGCCAACAAAACATCCATTATGTTTCCGTTTCCAGATTTTTCCAGTTTATATGAGATCGATACTCGTTCTGCGCAGGCATATCAGGGAAGAATGGGAAATGGCAAGCATTAGTAGGGGGTTTAATCGATGCTTCCAATGATAAAGTGTTACCTTGGTGACTCAATCCCAATGGAGGCTCTACATTCAAGTGGTGTCAGCGTTCATGTTCCCAACAGAGAAGCGGCTGTCCATGGACTTAGAAATAAAATTGTGCTAGACCACAATTTTCTGCTTAACCTACAATTTTCTGTTCAATGAGCTGTAAGCGCTGATGCACCAACATACAATGAGCTACAAGCACCAATGGTCAAGAGATGCACCAACATACAAAGGCGTCCCATGCTCTACATACAAAGTTCATGTTCCCAAAAGAGAAGTTGTTGTCAAATAAAATCGCACTAGATAAGGGTTGAACCTACGACTTTCTGCTTAGGAAACGGGCTCTATCCACTGAACTACAAGCACCAGTGGTCAAGATATGCACCAACGTACAAAGGCATTCCAGGCTCTACCTACAAAGGGGGTCAAGGTTCATGTTCTCAAAAGAGAAGCTACTTGTCCATGGGCAAATAGCACTAGGTAGGGGTCAAACCTACAATTTCTGCTAAGGAAACAGATCCCTTGAGCTACAAGCACCTGTGGTCAAAGAGATGCACCAACATACAAAGGCGTCCCATGCTCTACATACAAAGTTCATGTTCCCAAAAAAGAAGCTGTTGTCAAATAAAATCGTGCTACGTAGGGGTCGAACTACAAGCGACAGTGGTCAAGATATGCGCCAACATACAAAGGCATTCTCCAGGCTCTACATACAAAGGTTGTCAAGGTTCATGTTCCCAAAAGAGAAGCTGCTTGTCCATGGGCAAATAGCACTAGGGGGTCAAACCTACAATTTCTGCTAAGGAAATAGATCAATTGAGCTACAAGCACCCGTGGTCAAAGAGATGCACCAACATACAAAAGTACAATTTCTGCTAAGGAAATAGATCAATTGAGCTACAAGCACCCGTGGTCAAAGAGATGCACCAACATACAAAAGTACAATTTCTGCTAAGGAAATAGATCAATTGAGCTACAAGCACCCGTGGTCAAAGAGATGCACCAACATACAAAAGTACAATTTCTGCTAAGGAAATAGATCAATTGAGCTACAAGCACCCGTGGTCAAAGAGATGCACCAACATACAAAAGTACAATTTCTGCTAAGGAAATAGATCAATTGAGCTACAAGCACCCGTGGTCAAAGAGATGCACCAACATACAAAAGTACAATTTCTGCTAAGGAAATAGATCAATTGAGCTACAAGCACCCGTGGTCAAAGAGATGCACCAACATACAAAAGTACAATTTCTGCTAAGGAAATAGATCAATTGAGCTACAAGCACCCGTGGTCAAAGAGATGCACCAACATACAAAAGTACAATTTCTGCTAAGGAAATAGATCAATTGAGCTACAAGCACCCGTGGTCAAAGAGATGCACCAACATACAAAAGTACAATTTCTGCTAAGGAAATAGATCAATTGAGCTACAAGCACCCGTGGTCAAAGAGATGCACCAACATACAAAAGTACAATTTCTGCTAAGGAAATAGATCAATTGAGCTACAAGCACCCGTGGTCAAAGAGATGCACCAACATACAAAAGTACAATTTATGCTAAGGAAATAGATCAATTGAGCTACAAGCACCCGTGGTCAAAGAGATGCACCAACATACAAAAGAGAAGCTATTGTCAAATGACTTAGGAAACCAAGAGATGCACAAACATACAAAGGCGTCCCATGCTCTACATACAAAGTTCATGTTCCCATAAGAGAAGTTGTTGTCCATGGACTCGTGTTAAAAATAAAATCGAGCTAGGTAAGGGTTGAACATACGACTTTCTACTTAGGAAACAGACGCTCTATCCACTGAGCTACAAGCACCAATGGTCAAGAGATGCACAAACATACAAAGGCATCCCATGCTCTACATACAAAGTTCATGTTCCCATAAGAGAAGCAGTTGATCATGGACTTATACTTTCTGCTTAGGAAACAAACGCTCTATCCACTGAGCTACAAGCGCCAATAGTCAGGTAAGGGTCAAACCTACTAACATACAAAGGCACCAGTGGTCAAGAGATGCACCAACATACAAAGGCGTCCCATGCTCTACATATAAAGTTCATGTTCCCATAAGAGAAGCTGTTGTCCATGGACTTAAGTTAAAAATAAAAGTAGGGGTTGAACCTCCAACTTTCTACTTAGGAACAGACTCTATCCACTGAGTTGCAAGCGTAAAGGCCAAGCAATGCACAAACATACAAAGGCATCTCATGCTCTACATACAAAGTTCTTGTTCCCATAAGAGAAGTTGTTGTCCATGGACTTATGTTAAAAATAATATCGCAAACCAGGTAGGGGTCAAACCTACGACTTTCTGCTTAGGAAACAGATGCTCTATCCACTAAGCTACAAGTGTCAATGGTCAAGTGATGCACAAACATATAAACGCATCTCAGTCTCTACATACAAAGGCTGCTTGTCCATGGGCAAATAGCACCAGGTAAGGGTCAAACCTACCAACATACAAAGACACCAATGGTCAAGAGATGCACGCTCTACATACAAAGTTCATGTTCCCGTAAGAGAAGCTGTTGTCCATGGACTTATGTTAAAAATAAAATCGCACCAGATAAGGGTTAAACCTACGACATTCTGCTTAGGAAATAAACACTCTATCCATTATGCTACAAGCACCAGTGGTTAAGTGATGCACCAATATTGAGCTACAGTCGCCAATGGTCAAGAGATGCAAAATCATACAAAGGCATCTCAGGCTCTACATACAAAGGTTGTTAAGGTTTATGTTCCCAAAAGAGAAGTTGTTTGTCCATGGGCGATACAAACAATCTATCCACTTTGCTACAAGCACCAGTGGTTAAGAGATGCACCAACATTGAGCTATAAGCGCCAATGGTCAAGAGATGCACCAACATTGAGCTACAGGTGCCAATGGTCAAGAGATGCACGAACATACAAAGGCATCCCAAGCTCTACATACAAAGGCGGTTAAGGTTCATGTTCCCAAAAGAGAAGTTGTTTGTCCATGGGACATGCCAACATTGAGTTACGCCAATGGTCAAGAGATGCACAAACCTACAAAGGTTGTTAAGGTTCACGTTCCCAAAAGAGAAGTTGCTTGTACATGGGCAAATAGCACCAGATTGGGGTCAAACCTATGACTTTCTACTTATGTAACAAACACTCTATCCACTGAGCTACAGGCGCCAATGATCAAGGGATGCACCAAATAAAAAGGCGTCATGCTCTACATACAAAAGAGGGTTCATGTTCCCAAAACAGAAATTGTCCATGGACATGTGTTAAAAATAAAATCACCAGCAACAAAGGCGTCCCAGACTCTACATACAAAGGATGTCAGGGTTCATATTCCTAACAGATATAAAGGCAAGGCTCTACGTACAAAGGTCCATGGTCAAGAGATGCTCCAATATAGACAACCCGAGGTAGGGATCAAACCTATGCTCTACATACAAAGACACTCTATCCACTAAGCTACAAGCACTCCCATGATCCACCAACATACAAACGCATAAAAACCTTCTAAAAAATAAAAGAAATAAAACCGCACCAATTAGGAGTGGAAAAAAATCGTCTAACAATAAAAGAAATATTAGTCACGCCAAATAGGGGTCAAACCTATGACTTTCTACTTCGGAAACAGATGCAAAACCTTCTAAAAATAAAAGAAATAGATGCTCTATCCAAAGAGCTACAGGCCCTCCCATCCCATCCCATCCCATGAGCTACCAACATATCAAAAAAATTTAACTGCACCAACCAAATAGGAGTTAAACCTATTACTTTTTGCTTAAGGAAAAGACACTCTATCCACTAAGCTACAAGCACTCCCATGATCCACCAACATACAAACGCATCCCAATGGTCAAAAACCTTCTAAAAATAAAAGAAATAAAATTGCGCCTAGAGGTTGAAACGAGTCCCAATTGTAGCTACCAATGGTAAAAAAACCTTCTAAAAAAATAAAAGAGATATAGTCTCAACCAAATAAGGGGCAAACCTATGACTTTCTACTTAAGAAATAGACGCTCTATCCACTTAGTTACAAGCACTTTCATGAGCAAACATCATACAAACGTGTCCCAGCTATAGCCACCAATGTAAAAAACCTTCTAAAAATAAAATAAATAAAACCGCACCAGTTAAGGGTGGTGACCTAGCTGTAGCCACCAATGGTCAAAAACCTTCAAATAAAAGAAATATAACCGCACCAAATAGGGGTTAAAACCTAAGACTTTTTGCTTAAGAAAAAGACACTCTATCCACTAAGCTACAGGTGCTCCCATGATCCACCAACATACAAACGCGTCCCAACGGTAGCCACCAATGGTAAAAAACGTTCTAAAAATAAAAGAAACAAAACCACCACAGTTAGGGGTCGTCCCTGTAGTCACCAATGATTAAAAACCTTCTAACATGATCCACCAACATACAAACGCGTCCCACCGGTAGCCACCAATGGTAAAAAACGTTCTAAAAATAAAAGAAGCAAAACCACCCCAGTTAGGAGTCGAACCTATGAGTTTTTGCTCAAGAAAAAGACACTCTATCCACTAAGCTACAGGCGCTCCCATGAGCTATCAGCATACAAACGTGTCCTAGCTATAGCCACCAGTGGTCATAAAATACATATAACCACACTAAATAAGGGTTAAACCTATGACTTTGCTTATGAAACAAACACTCTATCCACTAAGCTACAAGCGCTCCCATGATCCACTAACATACAAACACGTCCCAACAGTAGCCACC